CCCCGCCACCCCACCGGCCACGTGCGTCCGAATGATACAGTAGATGCATTTGACGATGTGGTGACCACCGAGCCATGTTTATGATGCAGGAGGCAGGACAGCGGCTGGGAGGGGGCCGAAGGCGGCTCGCAGTTTTGTTGTTGTGAGAGCTCGGCGTCAGCAGTTTATCGCCGAACCGGTGCGACGCATTTTAGTTGATACAATTCTTGGCGCGCGGTGACGTCAAACGATAGAAAACAAGCATCAGTGACTCGGGGTTGCTCTGTGGCGGGGTTGCTGTGTGGCGGCGCTGCTTCACGGCGGCGCGTGAGGTCTCTGCTGACCTGGTGGGATCGGGAAGACTATCCAGACTTCGACGGTGACCTCGCTGCCGCCATGTCGGGCGAAGGAACAAAGGAACGACGCCGGCCGGCACGACGATCACATCCCCGGGCGCGCCGGTCGGGGCACAGGGGTGGTGGGCACGGTTGGCCGCGCTGCCCGGCGAACACAAACGACACGCCAAGTAACGACCACCGCTCTCGGAGCCGCGCGCGGCCTGCGAGCGTAGAGGTGGCGTCCGCGACCACGACAAGCGATGCCAGACGAGGCGACACACTGGCGGCCCACGGCCGGGCCAGGCCAGCCCGCGGCGGCCCGGGACCGGGACACACTCCCCGCCGCGGGTCGGGCCGGCCGAGCAGGGTTCGGGCTACGCCAGGCTCGGGGGCCACGGGGGCCACCGGGGCCCTGTCAGCAGCGCGGAGACGACCCGCGGAGATAGACGGCGGGGAGGGCAGGGCGCGGGCTCAAACACTCCTTACCCAAACGAGAGCCATCTGTAAAAAGTACAACAACGAACGGACGAGCGGTGGCACTGGCGAATAAGGGTTGTGGTCGTTTGGAAACTCCCCCAAGCATATCAGTATTTCTACGTTAAAAAAATAATTCCCCATCAGTTGCGAGGTGGTGCGGGTGCGAGGCGCCTGCTCACCGGCGGTTAGACCGCCCCGCTGTACACGGGCGCGCCACGGGCAGGCCTACCTCCAAGGGGCCCTGGCTCCGTAGGTAGGTAGGAGCGCACACCGAGCGCGACCGAGGGGAGTCCACTGCTTATTTTTCAACATTTCAATCGGAACTACGCGCTTCAAAAAGGCACGTCCTATTAGAACCTTGTAGGGTGGTGATGGGCCTGCCGGCCGACCCAGTGACCCAAACAGGGAGAGGAGGGAGGGCCCCGCGCGGACGGACCATCGGAACGGAAGAAGAGCCGAGGCCGAACAACAGACCGTCGCGGCGTTCACTTTTGACCACCTACTATGCCTGCCCGGGCATTCTCCATCGCATTAACTAATGGATGAATCTGGAGGAATTGTCGAGTTTGATAACCAACATTCTACTGAAAGCATGAGTCGTAATCACTAGGCACTCGGCAACTCGTCACTCGTGTCGGAAAATCGATAAGCCAGGTTTTCGAACCGTGTAAATGATAGGAAATTTTTAGAGTGGGTGAAAAAAAAAAACAATTCCCCCCTCCCCCATAACAACAAGTTCGATAGGCATCCCCCTAGCTCCCCTTCACGCAGGTGGCCAGCCCGGTTGACCCGCTAGCGCACGCTGCCACAAACAGATGATAACAATAGGCTAGCGATGGGCGGGTAAAGGAGGGTTGGAGTGGATGGGGCCTGTACCTTGCTGACCAACCTTAACGGATGCTGGAGTCCTTGGGGGGTGAGAGCAGTTGCGGGGTTGCACGCCGCATGTCGCCTACCGCGCCAGGACAACCAGGGACAGGGCCGTGTCTGCGTACCTCAAGGTTGAACTTATTGTGGCTTTAAATTAATAGGCCAATTGGGCAAAAGGCGAAGCGAATCAAGTGTAATGTCAGGTCCAGCCGGGGCTGTGTCCCAGTGCCGGGCAGGGCCGGCCCGGGCAGCGAAGTCTGAGCCTGCTCGGGGCCCACGCAGTCGGAGTCGGAGGTCATATCGGCCAGGTCTGAGTGTGGGGACGAGATGTCGGGAAGGGGCTAGAGCCTCTTCGAACGAGTGGCTTTGGTTTGAAAGATGGCTGGCTAAGGCAAAAGGCAACTTAGTAAACAGAAACGTAATTAATCAAATTTATTGTGAAATGAACTTAATATGTTAGGTAGTTGATCAAACTTTTTCCCTTCATACAGCGCTCATTAGTATGGATTCAGAGTTAACAAAACGCAAGCGTGATTTTAACGCCAGGCGTGATGTTCACGCTCCGGAAGCTTCAGGCAGCCAATGAGGCACCGAAGTGCATCGCGCTGAGCGTGAAAATCACGTCTGCCGTGAGAATCGCGCTCGCGTTCTGGGAACTCTAAATCCCCCTTAAGTGACACATTTTAATATTATCCTAAGAGACAGTAAAATTTTCAGAACAGGTAAAAAGGTAACAAGTACAAAGATTTAGAACAAAATGAAATAGCTTTCTTAAACTTCACGATGTTGAAAACGTACTCTTACAGGTCCATTAGGAAATATAAGAGTATGGTAAACACCATCCAGTTTTACTCCATCCGGATAACTCAAAGTGAAATTTCTTAGTATTTTAACCAAGAAAACATAAAGATCTTGCTCAGCAAATCTTCTCCCTACAACATATAAAAGCAGTTTCATCGATAGAATATTGCTCTCATATATATGATTATCTTCAAATTCGTTACTTTACCTGCACATGTGCGGGTACCATGACCAAATGGAGTCAATACAAATGGATGAATTGATTGAGCTTCATCACCACGTAGCCAACGCTCCGGCAGAAATTTTTCTGGTTCATGGAAATACTTTGCTGACTTGAAGTTTACTAACATGTTTAAATTTATGTGTGTCTGTAAACAGAGTCTATTATTATAACATGTCCTTAGAGAAAATGATAATAGTCAACAATTGTGTACATACACCAGCTGGGATGTGATAACCTGATAGAACCAGATCTTTTTCCAATATTCTTGAAATATCTGTCCCATTTGGAAGGGTTCTGTACAAGACAAACCGAATTTTTGGAAACATTCCGATCAAAGCTCACAGTAATTAAGATACAAAATTTCAATAAATATGAATTTTCTCTTTTTTACCTAAAACTTTCTTTAACAACTGCTTTAAGATAAGGAAGGTTTCCGAGTGTTTTTGAAGTTACTGGCATTTTTGGATCTGGTAGTGCATTTTTAATTTCTGCAAAAGCTTTTTCTTGAACATGCGGATGAATCGCAAGATTGTACAAATTGAAGAGCAGCATGGGCACTGTCTGTAGGAGTTTTCAAATTATTGACAACTTCTTCAATACTACTTCAACTTTAGTGGAGTAGTCTCTTTTCTATACACTTGGTAGATACTTACTGTGCTGAGACCATCTAAAAACATAGAAAGAGTCAGAACAGTTATATCTTTCTTGCTTAGATCCTTAGAAGCAATAAGATGACTCATAAAGCTATAACAATTTGGAATGTTTCTGCTTTCTTGAACAAATGAGTTAATTTTGTTCACAGTCTCATTAACATGCTTTTCTGCATAACTGAAATTGAATCATATAGGTACATTTGTAAAGACCATTCATATCATGCAAAACAAAAAGAATAATCCAAAGTGCTCCTACTCAACAAGAACATCCTCCAATTTTGAAACTTCTTGCCACAAAGGTGTAGGAAATATTTTGTAGATTGGTAGGGAAAATTTGAGAGCAGCAGAAAGACGAAACATCTCACGGTTGGAAAAAATTATGTTATCCAGTTCCTTCTCATCAGTTCCTTGTGAAAAGCATCCAAGACTCTTTCCAAAGCAAATTCTTCCAGCAGCTAAGGGTAAATATTGAACAATTTCAAAAACTCCATAGCTGTGTAGCTGTACATTTCCTGTTTTGAAACTTTCACAATGATCTGTCAAAAATAAAAGGAACAAAATTACCTACACTCTTGAGACCATTTTGCAACCTCTTCATTCAAAGAAGGAACTTCTCCAAGACTATCCAAACGAGACTTAAGACGAGCAATGAATTGGTTTGTAGCATCATCAACCTCGGGTAAGTATTGACTAACTTCTCGAGGCTGAAGCATCAAATGACGTACTGCACTTCTCAGTCTATACCATTCTTCGCCATTCCTAAAAACATTGCAGAGAAGTAAAATATCAGTTTTTTCATTCTAAAGTAGGAAGATGTATTGTTTCAAATTATTGAAGCACTTACGTATTCCCAAGACCAGGAGACTTATTTTTTTTCTGGCGGTACAGTTTAACTGTTTCTTGCAATGGTCTTATAACTGGAGAGCGTCCTTCAGCAGCATAAACGGTACGAGCATCATCAGGATCAAACACATGAATTACGGTGTAATATGGTCCAAGATCTTCACGTACTATAGGTCCATATTTTTCATTAAGCTTATGAAGTACTTTATGATACTGATTCCATTTATATATGCCTAAAGAAAATCACACTCAAAATCATAAAAGAAACATAATTTTTATTTTAAAAATCAGATGTCAGATAAAGTTCATTCAATCTTACCTAGTTTATACTGCAACAGGTTTCCCCACAGGGGAATCCTGGAAGGTCCTGGTATGTCTTCAAATGGCAGTACCTTTGACACTTGCAGTGGTGATGACTCTTCATGCTTGCCTGCTGCAGGTGCTATAGATGAGAGTGTCCGCACAGAAATAGAGTTACAGTAAGAAACTCTGGGCAGCAACACTCGCATCATGTTTAAGTCACAGCAGTGCCTTGCCAGCTGAAAAACATCATTTTAAAAAAATGCATTACATTTTAAACAGATTTGATGACATGTAAACAATGAGAAACGTTGCAGTCTAAATACATTATTTTTAAATGTTACATATGTCCACATGTCCAGCACCCTTATGGGATTCTATAACTATAGAAGTTAACTTACTGTTTACATGTGAGTGGAGTTGACACCTGTTATAACCCCACTAGTACTGCAAAGCGAGTCGTAAACAATACTACAGGCCAGTGCAACGTTCTTTGGGGAAAAGTCCACTGATAATGCCTGTCACAAACTTCCCTTCTATGCCTATCTTCCTCCTGGCACGGGAGAGCAGATAAGGATAACATCGTGTTTGATTCTTTTGCTTGCATTGTGTACATAACTATTTTGTCTGCTCAGTTATTTGCAGGTCAGAGGCAATCGGTTATATCCAGGTCCTCCTGGAAATAACCAGCAACAGCTGAGCTGTGTTGTGTTTGTGTTTTTGTCGTCAGTGTTGCTCACCACTCTTTGAATCATCTTTAAAACTTTGAAGGCCATTTGATGACTTTTGTTCCTTTGGTTACAATGACCCAATTGAATCTTATTTTACTTTTATTTTCTTTACTCTGTAATTTTTCGACTGGGGAACTTGAAGACTATAAGTAAGTTGCTGTCCATAAATAACCAACTTCTGTTCTGGAGAAATGTATTTATTCTGTATATTTCCTATTTTACCAGCAGGATATCACAATCTTTATTTCATAATGGTAAAAATGATACATGTACTGAGTTATTAGAAACGTTTGCTAACACCTCTGCAAGTTTCACATTTTGCGCCATAAAATACGCTCGACCAATTAGAATTTGCGAGCAGTGTGTGCAGTTCTTTGAAGATGTATCTGATGCCCATGAAAAAATTTTGAAGGTTATGATAATGACTTAAAAAATTTAAATATAATTAGTTGATAGTTATTTTATTTTTTTAATCATTATTCTTGGTTATTATTTCAGATGGAGGATGAAAGTGGTAAATGCAAGGAACAGTTAATGAACCTTGATAGACTCTCAGTGATTGAGAGTGGTTTTGAGTACATCACAGGTTTATGGGATAGCGCCTCTTGCAAATGTATGCAGTTATTTTCAGCGTTTTGTCACTTGTAAACATTCTATAATCTAATCTAATTTGTCGTTCACTTTTTTTTTGCAGATTGTTTTGATGACACCAACCACACTTTGAGTTTGTCAAACCAAACGTCCTTTTTCATGGACTTGCTGAACACTACCAAAGGTTGTTTTGAAAAGTATCAAATTGGAGATGATGTGTATAATAAAAGTGCTTGCACAGCCTGTGAAACACCATACTGTGACTTAAACAAGTTTTATGACAGTATTAAGAGTTCACATGACAGTGTGTGCATGGATATTGTTGATTCGGTGGGTATTACTGATTTCCTGTTGATTCAATAAAAACAAATTTTATTTACGATTACAATGCTTATTTTTTTAAATTTTTTAGATGAATATCACACGGATGTTTTGGAATATGAAATTGCATTGTAAAATGGATCATCCCAACTTGGATGTCATTTACTTGTCCTGCTCCTGCACTATTGCAGCGCTTCCTATCTTCTTTTACCTAGGTGCCAAATTCTTCACCAATGTCATCAGAATCAGACTACAATTTCGTAAGTATCTAAAAAGTATTTTGGGGCCATATTTACTTTTCTGTTTGAAGCAAAATAACTTTTTTTTTTTTTTTTGCACAGAGACACGTCTTGCTGAAATGTTGAAGCCATCCACAAGTGCAGAGACATAGGTTGTTTACAATGTGAGTAACCATTCTGACTGTGATTTGATAATATTTCAACTATTTTAAAAGTTATTACTTTCTTGCCAGTATGTTAAGTTGTTTAATTTTTTTCATATTTATAACTCATGAGTCTGTATTCAAAAGACTATAAGAAATTGTATTTTTGTTCTTTCACTTATGAGATAATAACTCATATAGAGAGATGAGGTGGTTCTATGTCTGTTGTTTGTTGGCCGGGTGGCAGTAGTATGCTGTGAATATAGCCAACTTCCAAGAGCATCATTCTAGGCTTATGGAGTGTCTGGCAGCCAGTACCTTTTTCAGAATTAGAGTGTCAAGTTTTTCCCTCAACTAGTATTCCAAATTATTGTGAAGGTTGAGATTGTAGCACACCAATAATCGATTCCCTATTCAGTTTAGTTGTGTTTAGTTGTTATGCCAGAGCCTTGCTGCAGCTCATTTCTTATTGTGATGATCTTAGATAATTTAGGGTCTGTAATATATATTCTCTTTAATCGCTGGTATTATTTATTGAGTGCGCGCGCGCACACACATCCCAAGGAGGAATTTGAGCCTTGACTGCCACCTTGACGTTAAAATGGTCCCCCATTTTGATGTCATTCTGCACTCATCCTGATGTCAATTTGACTCAATATGACGTTCTCAGTCAAAAATATTGGTCACATGAGTGCATGAAGGTATCAAATTGGGGGTCCATTTTGACGTCACGGTGACAGTCATGGCTCATATTCTTCCTTGGGCACTCACATTCACACGCGCATGGTTGATTGACTGGAACCCCTTTGCATAGGCCGGCCCGCAACACTTTGCTGTAGTACAGCACGGCCTACCCCACAGGAGCTCTCAGCATTCTGGACTGAACAAACGTTTGTGTGGAATAATGTTTGGCAGTCGCAGAACTCCGTTCCCCATCCCGCCCTGCCCACCACTTGTCAGCCCTCCGCCCGGCCGCTTCCATTGACGTCTTCTGCCACGAAAATTGCACGTCCCGCGTCACGCCGGGCCCCTCTGCTGTGGCCCCGCCCCGTCCCGCGCGCCTTGGACCTCCCTCGCCCCCTTTCCCCTCCTCCACTGCAGACTGCTGCACACCGCCTCCCTTCCTGCATTCGCCAACCCACCCACCTGCACGGCGTCCACAACCACCCCTCCTCGCACCCACCCCCAGGATCGACACTACCCCCTGGCGGAGCCGAGTGCGTCCGCCGCGCGGCCGAGCGGGCCGAGGCGCCGAGCCGAGCGCGTGTAGGGGGTGGGGCCGGGTGGGTTAGTAGAGGCGAGGCTAGGCGCCGCGGCTGTGCTCGGCCTGGGCCAGTCTGTGCCAAGCCCGGGCGCAGCCAAGCAGGCGCAGCCGAGGCGCCCCGCAGGAGTCAGCACCCGCACCGAGTCCCCGCAGCCGCAGCGCCTCCCCGCGCGGAGCAGCGCGGAGTTCGGAGTCCCTCGCCCGGCCGGACCGGAACCTGCCCCGCACCGCGGTGTCACCGGGACCCACCCGGCTGCAGCGTTTAGTCGCGACGGTTCGCGTCGCGAGACAAACGTATGGAACCGTGAACGCCGCGCCGGCATGACCCCAGGCCCCGCCATGGCCTCCTTCGCGTCCAAGCTCACCAAGCCCACGCCGCTGTCCAAGCTCCGGTGAGTGAGGAAGGGTCTGGTGCGGGTGTTGGGCGGCAGCTTGCCGGGGGAGGCCGGCGGCCCGACGTCCCGGAACAGCGGTCAGTTTCCCGCGGAAACACTCCTCGCCGGTCAAAGGATGACGCCAACGGAGCGGACACACTCCAGCCAGCTGACTGGCTGGAGGCTGGAGAATTGTTTACGCAGGTGAAACGAGTGAGAGTGGTGTTGTGTGTTTTTCGGTCCTTGCCAATGTCTTTCGTATAATCCAGATCAGCCTCTGCAAGAGGGGGGCACACTGGCCGGCCGGCGGCGCGGTGCCGGACACTGCAACCAGTGGCCGCCGTCGACTTATGGTACCCTTTGGTCCCACGCCAAGTGAGCCGCACGCGCTACACAATCACTGCAGCCAGAAGCTCCATAGCCCCATTGTTCCAATTGATTCATTATCGATTCATTGATCTGTCACCGGAGCGGTGCTGGGTGCTGCGGGGGCGCCGCGCTAGGCTCTGCTGCGTGCAGGTCAGGTGCGGCAGCCCCGGCAAGCGAACAGCTCTTTTGCCCCCTCATCTAGACGACCCCACCACCGCAAAGCGCTCGGGGGTACCGGTCCTGGGTACCGCCTCCGCCCGCCCGGCAGCCAAATTAGCGCTGGCACCGCCTCTTTCCTCAAAAAGTAGCAACATATGTTACCAAAATTAACTGTAAGTTGGGGTGTAAGTTCCACAACCATCTTGTCTTCCCATTTAGAAGAAAAAACATTAAAAAATCAGCAAATTGATTTTATGCTTGATTTCAAGCACCAGAAATAATCTAGTGTAAACATTAAATCTGCTTGTGCCAGTTCCACAGAGAGAATCGATGACATCGAAACGATAGCCGACTGATGTCGGCATCCTGAATTAACTTGTTCGATTGTCGTGCCGAATCGATCTTGAAATTGTTCCGTTTGTGTCGTCTGTTTTCCAGTGTGTCTGTCGCGTAGAGGGCACATCTGTGACGCGCTGCGCTGCAGCAGCTTCCCGGTCCTGTCCCCTCAGTTTGTTTGCGCGGCGGAAACGTCAAGGCGTAGAGATGGCGCCGCGATAAGCAACTAGACCAGACTGGAGACTCGTCCCGGGACGAGCCGTGGGGCCCGTGGGTCGCGGGGGGCTGCCGGAAGCAGGCCCCCAGGGCGGCAGGGGAGGTGGTCTCGTCGAGAGGCTCAGCTTAGGGGCCCAGCCCGAGCGATCAGAGGGCACCTTATCTGCCGCCAGCCCCGGCGGCCCGGTTGGCCCCGGCAGCCCCGGCTGTGAGCGCTGGGGGATGGAAAATCGATAATCGGCAGCAACAGCAGCAGGATCGGCGGGATGCTGCTCCAGACCTCCAGACCGTGCAGGAGGCTTGGCTTGGCGGCCCGGCCTCGCGGCGGCCTAGAGAGGAGCGGAGGGCAATTGCACTTACTCTGCCCCCTGTAGGTCCTCCAGCAGCAGCCCTCCCAACCCGGCGGCCTGGAGAAGAGCGGAGGGCCATTGCACTTTACTCTGCCCC